GCACAAAATTTGCTAAGTCTTGAGCAAGATTTCTTCCAAGAGAAAATACATTCAAAAAGTTGAGTAATATATCAAGAAAGAGTTCTTGAAAATTTCCTTATAAATATATATATATATTCCATACTTATTGAAAAACCGAGTAGTTTCTACTAGCGAAGGAACTATTGTCGGAACCGGACTTCAAAAGGTGGATATGATTAGAGGGAAGACGTTTGGATTCCTAAAGCGAGTAGCATCAAGGAGTTGACGTTATCAAATCGGGAATTGATTTCCTCAATCATCATCGATTTTGAAGGAGTTCAAGAACTAAGGTAATTTTTAAAAATTACATATCAAATCAAAATTAGTAAAAGTTACTAGATTTTAAATGATGCTTATTCGTAATATCGTTATACTTATGCACAGAATAAGTATTTATAAGATAAATACTTATAAAAATTTTAAATTCCGCTGTAAACTCTGTTCCGTACAGTATATCGAACCCAACAGTGGTATCAGAGCCACGTTACAATTTGCATCTTTAAAATCAGTTTTTGATTTGAAAAATTGTTAAAAACACGAACTGGAATAAAAATCGAATAGAGTATTCGAAAAAACGAGTCGTGCAAGATGACACGACTCGTGTGACTGGTCGTGTGGGGTCACACGACCCGTGTGAGAAAGTCACACGAGTCGTGTGACTGGTCGTGTCACCTCACACGAGTCGTGTGAGGTGTGACACGACTCGTGTGACATAAAATTTTTTGAAAATTTTTATAGTCACTTTCGTATTTTTCACACGAGTCGTGTGAGTGAGCCACACGAGTCGTGTGACATGTCACACGAGTCGTGTGACTTGTAACACGAGTCGTGTGACTGATTTTTGATCAGAAACGAGCTGTTTTGACTTAATATGAGTCATTACTACATCAACATATTAAATTAGTGAATTTATATGGTTGATTTAGGGATGATCATGAGCCTTTTATTCATAATGATGAATGATTGCATTTTACAATATGATTGATGGTTGCATTTTTATTTAATGTGATTAAGCGAATGTAATTTATCGAGACCTGCGAGTCTCTTGATTTATTGTTTGTAAAATTTTAAATTTTTGTATCGTTAAGAGATTAGATCAAGGTAGAGACCGTTCGATGCAAAAGGTCCACGCTTTTGTGGGTAATTTTACAAGTTGTAAATCTCGAAGGCCTGTGCTTGTACGGGTAGATAAAATGAACTGTAATAGAAGTAGTTCTATTTATCACGTATATAGGCATAGACCCATTTTGGCTCGAATGGGTCGTATAGGCAAGGACATGATCATCCCACCGTATGCATGCATTAGATGTATGTTAGGTTTATTTATGC